ACCCTAAACCCTAAACCGTAGAGGTGCAAACTTCGGCAACTTAGGAGCCTCAGGGCCGCAATTGGAATGGCTCTGAAGAAGCATAGTCACAGCTATAGTAGCAGCAATGGTAGTAATGACAACGACAATAATGATAACAAACATAATAATAATAATGGTAGTAGTAGTAGAAGTAGTAGTAGTAGTAGTAGTAGTAGTAGTGGTAGTAGTGGTAGCAGTAGTAAATGGTGATACTTTGCGTAATTACAAGCCTTGCGCGGCAGAGACGCTTCACTTTTAGGGTCGCTTGCATTAAATATGAAGTAAGGCTTTCATTGCGAGCATCCTGCATGACCTCACACTACACATGCAAATACTCCAAACGAGCCCTCGACGTTCACCGAATACCGAATATGAAACCACTGCTTTCTGTGCTTCCTTATGAGGGACAGATAAAACAGGTGCTGCCCTTGCACATCTGGGAAAGCTGGGTTTTGGCGTGCAGGATTCTCTGCTGAGCAAGCCATGATGCCGAGGCGATCTCAATTCCCAAGAAGTTCTCAGAGAGTGCGAATTCTTCTGAACTAAACCATGTTAGGACGACCATCCCCGCCTTCACAAGATGCTGCCTTCACAACAAACCTCTGACCCGGAATGTCAGAAGTTAGAGTTTCGACTCTCACACTCGCACAAGGCCGGCAGGGCTCCACACAAAGTTTAGGGTTTAGTGTTTAGGGGTATAGGGGTTTAGGGGTTTGGGGGTTTCGGGTTTAGAGTGTTGGGGTTTAGGGAAGGCATTCCAAAGCCGCGAGAGCCAGGGCACATGAGCCAAGGCCGCAATATGCAGCACAGTGAAGTCAGGCATGGCCGCCATCAGGGGCTCCTGGTGGAGTGCTCTATACCCTAAACCCTACTATACTATATCATACTATACTCTACTCTACTCTACTCTTGTATATCATACCATACCATACCATACTATATTAAAATGTTAACACATATGGGAGTTTCCGAAAATAAGGGGTACCTGATTTTGGGGTACTTATAGTATGGATCCTACTATTTAGGGCTGCTATATCAGGGTCCCCTATGTTCGCCCCCATATGCACAGAAGGCCTCATCTTGAAGGAGCTGGCAAAGATCCCGAAGCCATCGGATAAATAGCAACCCAAAGTCTGCGTTGAGAGATGTTCCCCGCAGTCCCGGCTGTGTCTGACTAGGCTGCAGTATGGTATAGTTTATAGTACATATACATAGTGTATACATATATAGAGTAGTATACAATTTTAGTGTGTATATAGATATATATAAATCTAGATATAGAGTATAGAGTATATACAGTATAGTATAGCCAAATGATCCTGCTGCCACACCCCTTTCTATATTCTATAGGCAGCCGCGGGCTTCATGGCAGCCGAAACATCCGAACTCTCGACACGTAGTTTACTTTAGCATAATTCCGCCATCGTGGAACGCACTCCTATACAGCCTACAGCCTGCAGGCTCAAGCTTCCGATGCCGAAATCATGGATGCCTCTTCCCCCAGAGAACAAGACACGACTCTCTTGCATTCTGCACCGCATCGAAGAAACCTGCTCTCAAGGTCTGAGTCTTGACTTTATGTGTCGGATTTCGTGCACAGGATCGCCGATGCGGGCCTCCAGGGCATCGAAAAGCTTCTGATCATTGATCCACAAGCGGGCAAAGCCATTCGCCACCTCATCACATTTATGTCCGTTTTCGGGGACTCGGTGTGTGCCCACACTTCAGCTGCGAATACCGCAATGCCATCGGTTGCGGGAGACAAAGCAAAACAAGCACTCAAATTATTCCTATCACCTCTTGACCCTCATAATCATAAGTAGAGCTAGAAGGACGAATGGACGGGGTAACCTTACATGTCGCTGTTGTCCTGTGGAGCATATAGGCAAGGCAGCCAGCGCCGCAGCCTCGTGTGTGTGTGTGTGTGTGTGCGTGTCCGGATGCACTTGTCCGTATCTTTATACCTGATGACGGAGACAGCAAAGGCGAGGGTGAGCGCGATGGTGGCAACGATGACAACTCCTACAAGACAGTCACCACAACCACACATTGAAAGCAAAGGCAGCGGAACCGGCAGCAGCGGCTACACCCACAGCCACAGCAATCGCATTAACAGTTATAGAATTGCGGTCATCTACTTGGAGAGCAACAAACAAGAGTGGTCGCAGCAGTTCTTTATAAGCCGGGCGTTGCCCAATTTAGGGCCCTTTCTGAGAGCCCGACCATGCTCAGATCTGTTGCTTTCCTGAGAGGAGAGAGAGATAGCCATCGCCCCACACGAGTTTAGGTCTCTCTGCGGTGCAAGGTCGGCAGCTTCAGGAGCACCATCAGCGGTTGCTAAAGAAACAGTAAGTGAATTTCGGTTCAACTCCCGCCTTTCAGCATTCTGCACACATGATCTCGTGACCCAGTGCCAACGTCTGGGAATGGTGAGGGAGATCATGTGCCTCTTGAGAGGCAGGAATCTCAAACCCTCAAGAAATATCAGGAACTCAGATTGCCAATCTCTACTGGCGCTTCACGGCAGGGTCGAAACACACAAATGGGTAGGCGCACGAAACCTCCCAACCAATGCATGCAGGCTTCATCTCCACAAGACAGCCTTGTGCATGACTCGACATGGCCCTCATCAACTTCTCGTCCTGGATTCCACGCAGCGAAAATGGCGGAGCAGTTTCGTGTCAGGCAGGGGAAGCTCACCCAGCCAAGCCTCGCGAGCTTGAAACGTCCCTTCATCGCAGAACCACCGCCGCTACAGCGCACCACTACTACCTACCCCTCGCTTGCTGTTGGAGGGCTGCTGGGAGGCCGCGCGAGCTCTGTACCCCCTGGCCCTGCTCTTGGGAGGCCGCGCTTGCAGGGCTTTTCGCCACGCCGCGCTGGGCTCTGGCCCTGCTCTTGTTGGGAGGCGGCGGGCTCTGAGTGTCCATAGCCATTGTCGTTGTCGCTGCCGTTGTCGTTGCTGTTGATGCAGCAGCAGCAGCAGCAGCAGCAGCAGCAGCAGCACGAGCAGCAGTATCAGTATCAGTAGCAGGTAGCAGCCAGGTAGCAGCAATAATGGCAGCATCAGTGGTAGTTGTTGTTGATGTTGCTGTTGCTGTTGCTGATGTTGCTGCTGTTGCTGTTGCTGTTGTTGTTGCTGTTGCTGTTGCTGTTGCTGTTGTTGCTGCTGTTGTTGTTGTTGTTGTGGTTGTTGGTTGTGGTTGTGGTTGCGGTTGTGGTTGTCGTTGGTGTTGTTGTTGTTGTTGTTCTTGTTGTTCTTGTTGTTGTTGTTGTTGTTGTTGTTTCTGTTGCTGTTTATGTTGCTGTTGCTGTTGCTGTTGTTGTTGTTTTCGCTGTGTTTGTCGCTTGCTGGCTTCTGGTTGCTGGTGGTCGGTGTTTGTAGTTGGTGGTAGTGTTGTTGATAGTGGTTATGTTGTTGTGGCGGTGGCGGTGGCGGTTGGTGGGGGTGCTGGTGGTGTCGTTGATGCTGCTGATGATGATGATGGTGGTGATGATGTTGACGATGTCGTTGTTGATGTTATTACTGTGGCTGTGAGTTGCCGGGTGTTGTTTGTTGTTTGTGTTTGTGTTTCCCTGTGTGTGTGTGTGTCGCTTGTTGTTTGTTGATGGTTGGTCGTTGCTCGTTAGTTGTTGCTTGTTGTTGATGATGCTGCCACTACTGTTGCTGTTGTTGTTGTTGTTGTTGCTGGTGCTAGTGCTGGTGCTGGTGCTGGTGCTGGTGCTGGTGCTGCCCTTTGCTGTTGCTGTTGCTGTTGCTGTTGCCGCTGTTGCTGTTGCTGTTGCTGTTGTTGTTGTTGGTGCTGGTGCTGGTGCTGGTGGCTGGTGCTGGTGCTGTTGCTGTTGCTGTTGCTGTTGTTGTTGTTGGTGCTGGTGCTGGTGCTGGTGCTGGTGCTGGTGCTGGTGCTGGGGCTGGCGCTGGCGCTGGCGCTGGCGCTGGAGCTGGTGCTGGTGCTGGTGCTGGTGCTGGTGCTGGTGCTGGTGGTAGTGCTGATGGTGTTGTTCGTGCTGGTGTTGGTGTCGTTGCTGTTGGTGCTGTTGCTGTTGCCGCTGTTGCTGTTGCCGCTGGTGCTGGTGCTGGTGCTGGTGCTGGTGCTGGTGCTGGTGCTGGTGGTGTTTTTTGTTCGTTGTCGGTTGTTGTCCGTTGTTTGCGCTTGTGTGTTTGTGTGTCTACGTCTGTAGTTGTTACTTGTTGTTTGTTGGTTGTTGGTCGGTGGTTCGTGGTCTTTTGTCACTGGTCGTTGCTGGTTGTTGTAGTGATGATTGTTGTTGGTGGCGGTGGTGTTGTGGTTGTTGTTGTGACTGCCGAAGGCTACTGTCGTTGCTTGCTGAGGGTTGTTGTTGGTGCTGCTGGTATGGCTGCTGCTGTTGGTATGCTGTTGGTGGTAGTGAGGATCTCGCAGCGACAATCTTCGGGCTTGAGTGTGCGAAGCTATTGAGGGCCTCGGAAAGCTTCGCAGGAGTTCAACAACCTCCGTGGACGCATCGTGGGCAGAGTGCCATGCACTTACCCACAGGAAACGTCGTGAGTACGCTGACATGTTCCTCCTGACCTGCAGAGCTCTCGATGCCGAGCACCGCCGGAATCGCACCATTTGTTTCTGTTTGGCATGTTGTAACTCTGTTTTTTCCAGAGTTGTTTCTGGGACGATTTGGCAGAACGCAAACTTTCTCTGGCCTGGGCTGCGGCAACAAGTAAAATAGTACAAATTTCAAATTAGTTCGTAACTTGTATTACCTGAGCAGACGTGACCAGAAACCTGAGCGCGGTTTGGGATCTCTGGTACAGGCACGGCTTTCTTCAACCACGTGCTGATTAAGAGTTAGTGATTTCCGCCGGAAACTGCGAGGCAAAAAAGGGGAGTATTCCTGGGACCCGGCTACTGAAGCAGACGTTAGCACCACCGATCCTAGTCCTTGCATTGCTCCGACTCCATCACCGTCCTGGTAAAGATAGGAACCTCGCCTGGGTGATGCACCATGTGTCAAACAGATATTCAAGTTCTGTGCAGCAGGCTGATCCGAATTGTAGTTGACTGAGTGACCTTCGTCCTACGAAACTTCGAGCAGTAGTCCACAAAGGCCTGGTCCAGATGGTGAGGCAACGAAGTGGACTGCTGAGTTGCAAGGGCCGGGCACTATCTGACTGCGGCAGAGAGACGAGTGAGTGTTTGTAAGTAAGAAGGGTTAGTTCAAAAGGACTCACGCACTATAGGGTCAAAAGCCGCTGGGTGTCTGAGGTATCGTGTCCAGATTCAGTTCGGCGGGGAAAGCAAGGCCGGAAGATGACAAAACTTGCACGACCGAAAACTCCCAAGCCGCTTTTGATGTGGTTCTCTTCGTGTCCAGTCCACATTCACCTGTGCCTTTAGTCTAGAGTCTAGCGTCGAGGGCCGCTTCACCGGTGCCTTCACCAGAGCTTGCATTTGGAAGGTTCTGGCCGTGAAGGAACGAAACTTGCGTTGGGGAGCCCAGCTGGTTGCTGAACGGGACCCATGAAGCCAAGCAGTGTATGCCTCGGCCAAATTGGGACTACTTTGACCGCAGCGCTGCTGCCGCCTGCAGCTGCCATTGTTTCTACTCTACCTCTGTCGAACTTGCACCTTTGCTCGTGCAACTTCCTGGGCTTCGTGGCAGTTTCCCGAAGCTCTTTCTTCAAAGTCGTCGTAGCTCACGATGCGGTGCAACGTCCTTCCCTCGCATCATGCCTGACCCGGGTACGACAAAAGCTGCCAGCGCAGTGACCGTGCCTGTGCCCTAAGGAAAGCTCCAGAGCTGACGCAATTCTCCCAAGGATGCCCTTGTGGTATCCGTCCTGTAGATCGTGCGCTCATAGCCCTGTAGACTATGCACTCTACTACGGGGGCCACAAGATCGAGAAAAGGCTTCGGAATTAAGCTGTAGAAGCCGTCCATGGCGAGTTGGGGGTGCCGAGGGAAGCAAAGGCATCGCAATTTAGGTCATGCTGCATGCTTGTCTGGACCCTTGTATGGCATGCTACATGGAAGTGGCGCAAACTGCCTTTTGGCATGGAGCTGTGCTTTGCCGGATCCAATTGTATCCAATCTGCGACCAGCCTGCCAAACCAGCCGGCGCAGGCACTAGATACGATGCATGTTGATGGCCTTTGCTGTAGATGCTCTGTTGGCGGCCTTACGAGCCTGCATTTCCCACTTCAGCTTCAGCTCCTGTCTTTATCGCAGTACTAGCGGCGGCCGGATGGCGAAATCCGCCACCGGTTTCACAACTCACCTGCGCTGGGCACATGGCACGGCAAAAAGATGAGCCGAGACTACGACGGTCATCAAGACATGTTCATCTCTGCCCTGCGCAGCAGAGCAGTATGGCCATAGCCAAGACAATACAAGTACAGCTAAGTTTTAGACAGAGCGGCGTAAGCACTCTAGGCCCAGGCAGTGAGCTTCAACTCCCGAGAAGGCCGGTTTTGCTCCGACAGGCGAGTATCTAGGAAGCGCATGCACGAGGGATAGTAGATGTGATTGGACTGAGACCAGGAGCTTTATAGAGGATCACACACAAACACGAAAGGCTTGCCAAGTCTGCTGAGATGATGTGTCCATGGCTAGTGTACTAGTATGATTGATACCAAGACGTTTAGGTCGCTCTTGAATGACCGTCGATGGTGCCATGTGTACATGTATGTATACCTAAGGAAGCGTTTTGATATACTAGGACGACATGATCAAGTAGCTCATAGTTGCCGATGTTCGTTCTTTGCTGTTCTTGCTGGGCATCCGAGACATTCTGTGAGTGACATGCGACTGGCTTGAGGATGTAAAGAAGGCCATGCAGGCCTACGCAACCTGCAGACATGCAGCGCCTCATCGCGTGAGGCTTAACAGCTTCGCTGTTTTAGAGCTTTCTGCTTGTGGCTGGCTGCGACTTCTTGGGTTGCCTCATGCCGGAGTGGCTGCAAAACTCGCTTCATTCAGGGTGCGGAGAGACCCAACGTCCTTCCGGTTCCGGGAACCTCCAGTATGGGCTTGCTTGGGCCGATTTCTCACTTGAGGATGGACGGCGACCTGGGGCTGTACGCAGCGAGGCCGAGCACCTGAGAAACAGGGCGGAATCATCGCGCAGTTAAAGGGTTCATTGAAAGTTGTGTTAAAGCAACCTGTTGTCTCTGCCAGAATATTGAGCAGTCGCAATGCTGAGTTGCTAAATAAACTGCTCGTAGTCCGAACCTTGCAGATCAAGCTTCCGGCATCATGAGAGTGAGCTGAAAGCACCCGGTTCACTTCCTGGTAGTTGCACATGTGTCGTCCTTCTTGGATTTAGTGGAGGTCGAATTACGACAGAACGGAACGTACCACTGGTACTACCGAGGTGCCCATGTTGAGCCTCCTTATATGCGCGCCCGTAAGCTGAGGTGTCAGTTCCGAAAAGTAGGAGGGAGGGAGAGAGGGAGGGTGAAAGAAAGGGAGGGAGGGGGTGTGGGATGCTCTTCTTGGAGGTCCATATAATTGGAGCATGCAGGATCTCTTATCTTCCATTTAGATCCTAAGTGCACGAATCTAGAGCCAGGTGCTTCCTGCCAACAAGCCCGGCGTGCCAACTCAGCTACCGAGGCAGGTTTGTGGTTTCGTGATGCTACGAGGGGACCGCCACAGCACAAGACCAT